GGGGCGCCGGAGCGCAGGTGGCCCCGTCCGGGTCTCCCGCCCGCCGGGGGCCGATGGGAAAGAGGGTCGCCCCTTCCGGGTCTGCCGCCCGCCGGGGGCACGCTCCGGACGGCCGCGGGGGCCCGGGTCCGCTCCGGAGTCTCGGGAAGGCCGTTCGGTTCTCTCTCGTCCGGCGGGGCCCTTCCCTGAGTGTCCGCACCACGGGGAACGGTCTGGGTGGGACCGCGAGGGGTGAGGCGCCACCCCACCTGAACACCGACCCGAGGGAAGGCCCGCGGGGGGTCCTCACCGACGCGGCCCGGGGAGAGAGAGGTCGATCGGGGCGCCAGGGGCGCCGAGTAGGCCGAGGATCTGGACCCCGTCCGGGTCTCCTGCCCGCCGGGGGTCGTCGGGAACGCACGGTGCCCCTTCCGGGTCTCCTGCCCGCCGGGGGTCGATCGGGACGCGGGGTGCCCCTTCCGGGTCTCCTGCCCGCAGGGGGCACGCTCCGGACGGCCGCGGGGGCCCGGGTCCGCTCCGGAGGCACGAGGGGTCGGGAAGGCCGAGGGGGGGGGGACGCAGGCCGGAGACCGCCCCGGTCCGGAGCCCCTGCCCGACCGCGGTAGGCGGAGGGCGGCTTGGGGAGCCACGGAGGACCGGTGGATTCTCTCGTCTGTCGTCAAAAAAGCCGTTCCCTGAAAATCTCCGCGCGGCCGTCCGCCCCCGTGAACCGGGACGGGACCGTGATTGGATAGCGGGGCGAGGTCGGAAATCGATCCGGCCTCCTGGAACCGGAGGCCGGCCGCGGCGGGCAAATCCGTCCCCTTCGGGACTTCCGAAGGTAGACCTGGGCTCCCGCGGTGACCGGGGTCTCCCACCGGATCTCCCGGAACCCGAACCCGGCCGCGGAGGGCGGGGAGGCCCCGCTCGGAGGTCGGTAGACCTGGGCTCCGGCCGGGACCGGGGTCTCCCACCGGATCTCTTGGAACCCGAACCCGGCCGCGGAGGGCGGGGAGGCCCCGCTCGGAGGTCGGTAGACCTGGGCTCCGGCCGGGACCGGGGTCTCCCACCGGATCTCTTGGAACCCGAACCCGGCCGCGGAGGGCGGGGAGGCCCCGCTCGGAGGTCGGTAGACCTGGGCTCCGGCCGGGACCGGGGTCTCCCACCGGATCTCTTGGAACCCGAACCCGGCCGCGGAGGGCGGGGAGGCCCCGCTCGGAGGTCGGTAGACCTGGGCTCCGGCCGGGACCGGGGTCTCCCACCGGATCTCTTGGAACCCGAACCCGGCCGCGGAGGGCGGGGAGGCCCCGCTCGGAGGTCGGTAGACCTGGGCTCCGGCCGGGACCGGGGTCTCCCACCGGATCTCTTGGAACCCGAACCCGGCCGCGGAGGGCGGGGAGGCCCCGCTCGGAGGTCGGTAGACCTGGGCTCCGGCCGGGACCGGGGTCTCCCACCGGATCTCTTGGAACCCGAACCCGGCCGCGGAGGGCGGGGAGGCCCCGCTCGGAGGTCGGTAGACCTGGGCTCCGGCCGGGACCGGGGTCTCCCACCGGATCTCTTGGAACCCGAACCCGGCCGCGGAGGGCGGGGAGGCCCCGCTCGGAGGTCGGTAGACCTGGGCTCCGGCCGGGACCGGGGTCTCCCACCGGATCTCTTGGAACCCGAACCCGGCCGCGGAGGGCGGGGAGGCCCCGCTCGGAGGTCGGTAGACCTGGGCTCCGGCCGGGACCGGGGTCTCCCACCGGATCTCTTGGAACCCGAACCCGGCCGCGGAGGGCGGGGAGGCCCCGCTCGGAGGTCGGTAGACCTGGGCTCCGGCCGGGACCGGGGTCTCCCACCGGATCTCTTGGAACCCGAACCCGGCCGCGGAGGGCGGGGAGGCCCCGCTCGGAGGTCGGTAGACCTGGGCTCCGGCCGGGACCGGGGTCTCCCACCGGATCTCTTGGAACCCGAACCCGGCCGCGGAGGGCGGGGAGGCCCCGCTCGGAGGTCGGTAGACCTGGGCTCCGGCCGGGACCGGGGTCTCCCACCGGATCTCTTGGAACCCGAACCCGGCCGCGGAGGGCGGGGAGGCCCCGCTCGGAGGTCGGTAGACCTGGGCTCCGGCCGGGACCGGGGTCTCCCACCGGATCTCTTGGAACCCGAACCCGGCCGCGGAGGGCGGGGAGGCCCCGCTCGGAGGTCGGTAGACCTGGGCTCCGGCCGGGACCGGGGTCTCCCACCGGATCTCTTGGAACCCGAACCCGGCCGCGGAGGGCGGGGAGGCCCCGCTCGGAGGTCGGTAGACCTGGGCTCCGGCCGGGACCGGGGTCTCCCACCGGATCTCTTGGAACCCGAACCCGGCCGCGGAGGGCGGGGAGGCCCCGCTCGGAGGTCGGTAGACCTGGGCTCCGGCCGGGACCGGGGTCTCCCACCGGATCTCTTGGAACCCGAACCCGGCCGCGGAGGGCGGGGAGGCCCCGCTCGGAGGTCGGTAGACCTGGGCTCCGGCCGGGACCGGGGTCTCCCACCGGATCTCTTGGAACCCGAACCCGGCCGCGGAGGGCGGGGAGGCCCCGCTCGGAGGTCGGTAGACCTGGGCTCCGGCCGGGACCGGGGTCTCCCACCGGATCTCTTGGAACCCGAACCCGGCCGCGGAGGGCGGGGAGGCCCCGCTCGGAGGTCGGTAGACCTGGGCTCCGGCCGGGACCGGGGTCTCCCACCGGATCTCTTGGAACCCGAACCCGGCCGCGGAGGGCGGGGAGGCCCCGCTCGGAGGTCGGTAGACCTGGGCTCCGGCCGGGACCGGGGTCTCCCACCGGATCTCTTGGAACCCGAACCCGGCCGCGGAGGGCGGGGAGGCCCCGCTCGGAGGTCGGTAGACCTGGGCTCCGGCCGGGACCGGGGTCTCCCACCGGATCTCTTGGAACCCGAACCCGGCCGCGGAGGGCGGGGAGGCCCCGCTCGGAGGTCGGTAGACCTGGGCTCCGGCCGGGACCGGGGTCTCCCACCGGATCTCTTGGAACCCGAACCCGGCCGCGGAGGGCGGGGAGGCCCCGCTCGGAGGTCGGTAGACCTGGGCTCCGGCCGGGACCGGGGTCTCCCACCGGATCTCTTGGAACCCGAACCCGGCCGCGGAGGGCGGGGAGGCCCCGCTCGGAGGTCGGTAGACCTGGGCTCCGGCCGGGACCGGGGTCTCCCACCGGATCTCTTGGAACCCGAACCCGGCCGCGGAGGGCGGGGAGGCCCCGCTCGGAGGTCGGTAGACCTGGGCTCCGGCCGGGACCGGGGTCTCCCACCGGATCTCTTGGAACCCGAACCCGGCCGCGGAGGGCGGGGAGGCCCCGCTCGGAGGTCGGTAGACCTGGGCTCCGGCCGGGACCGGGGTCTCCCACCGGATCTCTTGGAACCCGAACCCGGCCGCGGAGGGCGGGGAGGCCCCGCTCGGAGGTCGGTAGACCTGGGCTCCGGCCGGGACCGGGGTCTCCCACCGGATCTCTTGGAACCCGAACCCGGCCGCGGAGGGCGGGGAGGCCCCGCTCGGAGGTCGGTAGACCTGGGCTCCGGCCGGGACCGGGGTCTCCCACCGGATCTCTTGGAACCCGAACCCGGCCGCGGAGGGCGGGGAGGCCCCGCTCGGAGGTCGGTAGACCTGGGCTCCGGCCGGGACCGGGGTCTCCCACCGGATCTCTTGGAACCCGAACCCGGCCGCGGAGGGCGGGGAGGCCCCGCTCGGAGGTCGGTAGACCTGGGCTCCGGCCGGGACCGGGGTCTCCCACCGGATCTCTTGGAACCCGAACCCGGCCGCGGAGGGCGGGGAGGCCCCGCTCGGAGGTCGGTAGACCTGGGCTCCGGCCGGGACCGGGGTCTCCCACCGGATCTCTTGGAACCCGAACCCGGCCGCGGAGGGCGGGGAGGCCCCGCTCGGAGGTCGGTAGACCTGGGCTCCGGCCGGGACCGGGGTCTCCCACCGGATCTCTTGGAACCCGAACCCGGCCGCGGAGGGCGGGGAGGCCCCGCTCGGAGGTCGGTAGACCTGGGCTCCGGCCGGGACCGGGGTCTCCCACCGGATCTCTTGGAACCCGAACCCGGCCGCGGAGGGCGGGGAGGCCCCGCTCGGAGGTCGGTAGACCTGGGCTCCGGCCGGGACCGGGGTCTCCCACCGGATCTCTTGGAACCCGAACCCGGCCGCGGAGGGCGGGGAGGCCCCGCTCGGAGGTCGGTAGACCTGGGCTCCGGCCGGGACCGGGGTCTCCCACCGGATCTCTTGGAACCCGAACCCGGCCGCGGAGGGCGGGGAGGCCCCGCTCGGAGGTCGGTAGACCTGGGCTCCGGCCGGGACCGGGGTCTCCCACCGGATCTCTTGGAACCCGAACCCGGCCGCGGAGGGCGGGGAGGCCCCGCTCGGAGGTCGGTAGACCTGGGCTCCGGCCGGGACCGGGGTCTCCCACCGGATCTCTTGGAACCCGAACCCGGCCGCGGAGGGCGGGGAGGCCCCGCTCGGAGGTCGGTAGACCTGGGCTCCGGCCGGGACCGGGGTCTCCCACCGGATCTCTTGGAACCCGAACCCGGCCGCGGAGGGCGGGGAGGCCCCGCTCGGAGGTCGGTAGACCTGGGCTCCGGCCGGGACCGGGGTCTCCCACCGGATCTCTTGGAACCCGAACCCGGCCGCGGAGGGCGGGGAGGCCCCGCTCGGAGGTCGGTAGACCTGGGCTCCGGCCGGGACCGGGGTCTCCCACCGGATCTCTTGGAACCCGAACCCGGCCGCGGAGGGCGGGGAGGCCCCGCTCGGAGGTCGGTAGACCTGGGCTCCGGCCGGGACCGGGGTCTCCCACCGGATCTCTTGGAACCCGAACCCGGCCGCGGAGGGCGGGGAGGCCCCGCTCGGAGGTCGGTAGACCTGGGCTCCGGCCGGGACCGGGGTCTCCCACCGGATCTCTTGGAACCCGAACCCGGCCGCGGAGGGCGGGGAGGCCCCGCTCGGAGGTCGGTAGACCTGGGCTCCGGCCGGGACCGGGGTCTCCCACCGGATCTCTTGGAACCCGAACCCGGCCGCGGAGGGCGGGGAGGCCCCGCTCGGAGGTCGGTAGACCTGGGCTCCGGCCGGGACCGGGGTCTCCCACCGGATCTCTTGGAACCCGAACCCGGCCGCGGAGGGCGGGGAGGCCCCGCTCGGAGGTCGGTAGACCTGGGCTCCGGCCGGGACCGGGGTCTCCCACCGGATCTCTTGGAACCCGAACCCGGCCGCGGAGGGCGGGGAGGCCCCGCTCGGAGGTCGGTAGACCTGGGCTCCGGCCGGGACCGGGGTCTCCCACCGGATCTCTTGGAACCCGAACCCGGCCGCGGAGGGCGGGGAGGCCCCGCTCGGAGGTCGGTAGACCTGGGCTCCGGCCGGGACCGGGGTCTCCCACCGGATCTCTTGGAACCCGAACCCGGCCGCGGAGGGCGGGGAGGCCCCGCTCGGAGGTCGGTAGACCTGGGCTCCGGCCGGGACCGGGGTCTCCCACCGGATCTCTTGGAACCCGAACCCGGCCGCGGAGGGCGGGGAGGCCCCGCTCGGAGGTCGGTAGACCTGGGCTCCGGCCGGGACCGGGGTCTCCCACCGGATCTCTTGGAACCCGAACCCGGCCGCGGAGGGCGGGGAGGCCCCGCTCGGAGGTCGGTAGACCTGGGCTCCGGCCGGGACCGGGGTCTCCCACCGGAT